GTATTTTTAAATACTTTTTAGAGCCCATCTCTCCCTCTGGAGCGATCTCCTCTCTGGACGGTTCTGCATGTGGTGGAGGGTCTGGCTCTGGTCGTGCTGTGCAGCTGTCGACCAGCAACACGCAGACTCGCTGTCAATGTCCTCAAAGAAGTCCGATCACTGCACACAGCCCTCGGCATCGCTAAGGTAACCATCTGCTCTAAATGACTTCCTGTTATTCACCTACATGAGGTGACATTGTTTTGTTTGCACTTCATATTCATTGCTTTGTCTTGTTTCTCTCTCTCTCAGGGAGATGAGGAGTTGGCTATAGAAGTGATGGACAGATTGAGTGCTTCAGTCCTTGAAAGCTTTATTCACCTTACTGGGGCCGATCAGGTGAGGGAATGCAGGACATTATGTGTTTTTGGATGTTGGTGTCCCCTCCACACTGGAATGCTTAGAAAGCTTCTGCCCAAAACCAAAAAGTACAAATGAAACTATATCAGGGTTATCTTTTTTTGCCCCTTTTCACTGTAGACGAATCTGCTGTTCTGTCCCAGTGGAATAGACCTTCAGACTCTGGCAGAGTGGAGCTCATCTCCCATCAGCCACCAGTTTGATGTGGTAAGCCCCTCCCACATCTGGGTGTTTGCCCATGTGACTCAAGGTCAGGACCCCTGGGTCATCAGCCTGTCTAGTTACCTGCGGCAAGAACACCTGCCCAAGCACTGCCCCACTGCGCTGAGCTACGCCTGGGTCTTTGCCTCCACACGCCTTCAGCTGCTCTCGCCACAAGTCGACATCAAGTATGTTTTTACATTCAAATGTGTCTCTAGTAGTGCTGGGTGACTTGGGTAAAAAAAAATACTTATACAGTATCTCAATGTTTTTAGTCTATATTTGTTAGCCATTGTTGTCAGATAGATAAAAAAAATTTAAAGACATAAAATTTGATTAAACATCCAGGTAATAATAAAGACAGACATTTCCACACGGTTTTCACTATATTAATGTGAGAATTAATAATATTTCATACTTTTCTTTTATATACTTAATAATAAACAGCCATGTGACTGCATAAAAATCATTATTTTTTTATTTGGCAAACTTGTTTGTATATGATGTATTTCTGTAAGCCAGATTATGTGACTTTCCTGTGTGACCTTTGACCTTGCAGCAGCCCGATCAATGCTAAAAAGGTGAACAGCATGAGCAGTAGCAGTGACTCATATGTGGGACTTTGGAGGAACTACCTAATCCTCTGCTGCAGCTCTGCCACCTCTTCCACATCTTCATCTTCATCGGCCCCCGGCTCTGTCCGCTGCTCCCCACCTGAGACGCTGGCATCCACCCCAGACAGCGGATATAGTTACGACTCAAAGGTCGAGGTCACAGCACCCTACCAGCTCTAGTGTCAGATGCAATAATTAGTATTGTTAAATGTGAAATATTTGCACATTGCCTGATTTGGGACACCATATTTGAAATGATTAACAAGTTTGTGTACATGTGTGTGTCTTTGCAGATCATTAGCATTCCGTCCCCTTCCTCCTTGTTCAAGCATGTGGTTCCCATGATGCGCTCTGAGAGCATGGACATCACTGAGTCTCTCGTCCTGGGGCTTGGCCGGACCAACCCTATTGCCTTCAGGTATGTCTTAAGATCACCTGATAAAGCTCAGAAAAAAATCTACAAAATATGCTTTACACA